GACAGAAAAATGAGTAGATGCATAGAAGGTTGGATGGATGGATGGATGATTGGACAAATAAGTGGTTGGGTGGGGAAATGTATGGAGGAGTGGATGGGTGGATATGGATGGACAGAAAAATGAGTAGATGCATAGAAGGTTGGGTGGATGGATGACAGAACATGGGGACTATATAACTTCAAATGGGAATGCACACTTACTTGGCTTGATTGATTAGCTTGATCAACTTCCTTTTTCTTAATTCCAAATTGAGGGCTAATAAGTAGTTCATACTGCACATTATGATTTCTTCCATTTGCTACAAATTGCTGTCAGGTTTAGACATGTCAAAATTAATAATTAATGAATGTAAATAGCAACAATGGCAGAAGAAACAATGATCAATACTTATTCAAGTCTTACCTTGTACACAGTGAATGTAAACACAAAGAACTTTTCAGATTGCTCYACCACATGAAGGTATTCTAACATTAACTTTTCTTCGGACAATGATTGAAAACTTGGCAGGAGTTTTTTGATGTATTTTTTAACTTCTCTGATGCCATATTGTCGAAATACATCTCTTCTCAACAACTCTGTTACTCTGTACTGTTTTCTGTGAAAAAGAACACCACATTCATGCACAATCAATCTTTCTATTTTACTGTGTCTGTACAGATGTAAAAAAATATTTTCATGTCCATGGATGAAGCCCTGTTTGGGGTAAATTCATGCAAGTGTCAGCAGCCTGGCCTTGGGAGCATCAATATTGCTAACAAACACTCATGATAGTAAACTGCATGGCTGCAATTTGTGCCATAATAGCAGTCCGTCAAGTCCCCCAATCATTGTAATCATTCATTGTAATCATCTTAAAGCACATTGAGATCATTAACATGCGCTATATAAGAATGGCAGTTATCATTATTATCATTAATTTACTAATTGAAATTAAAGTCCAAAGCGTGGCTGAATAAATTGAAGGATTTGCCACATAAATCAGACTAAATCACTTGCAGTGATTCACACAAATTCTAAACATATAATTATTATAAAGAATTTAAGACAAAATCATCCATAACAATTACTTACGCATCATCAACTAGCTTTTGTGGTTTGACTTGATGCCGTGTGGCGCTATGTATCAATTCAAGAACCACCAACTTCACAAAATGTTTCTTATCTTCTTTTTCTTCTTCAGGAAAGGTGATTTTGTGCTGAAGAAATTCCTGTCGACTCTAAAAAATAATAGCAAATGTTTATTTATATAACCGTATACCTAAAAATTGAGAGCATATAGGGAGAGAGCTTAGGCAGATATGTTGAGTGGAGGGGGGGGGGAGGTGGGTAATGAAATGATTGGGGGCTCTAAAAGTTTGTCATACATACACGGGTTGGCTATCAATTTGAATTTGAAAATTTTCATGGGTTGTTTGGGGGAGGGGGCGAGTACTTTTTTGAGAAAGGCTGGTGGTGGTGGTGACTAATGCTTTAACAACCTGAGCAGAAGTCATAACCAAGCTAAAAAACTTATTGCCACACTGACATGCACTGCACACTAACCGTCCTGATGCATAAAAAGGACATCAATATAATAATGCATACATACTCTTTCTTGGCCTCAATGTAAACTAATGTTATATTAAATGAGTTTGCCAATAAATTCTTTATTATTATCATTATAATACCTGGTGAAACAAATACTTTATGACATTTATATCATCAATGTCAGGCTGTTTGAATCTTGATGCTCGGCATGCCTTGAATGCTAGTTTAAAGTCATATTTCTGTTCACATTCTGTTTTGGACAGTTTCTTTTGTTGGTTGAGTAAGTGACCTTCTGGTCTGGAAACCAGGGTAAAAAAGGGTAGGGCTAAGGGTGATATTTTGAGTTCTTTGGCAATTTCTTCACAGACATCCTATAAGATAAAGATTGAATACATTAACGTGACATTCAATAAACACTTCCACCAATAATATATTCCTATTTGTAACCGGCGGCAAGGCGCTCAGCTATGAATCAGATTGCAAGTGGTTTTGACAAAAGAATTTATTGAAAAATTC